CTACTCACAAACTATCACGTATGTCACGTATGCTTGGTATTCATTCTCATTTTCATGAAGCCCTTTCCTCACACACAAGTGCTTTACCTCAGCCTCTGATGCAGTGGTGGGTTGCCCCCGGTTCGCACTGGTTCTATAGAACTGGTAGTAAAACCGGCGGGAGGCTTTGCCCGCTGACCCTGACGTCATGAAAACGCTTCTGCGCATGTGCAGAAGCTTCTGTGCTTGCGCGCGGCCCCGTTGCGAACTGATAGTAAAAGTAAGTAGAACCCATCCCTGCTCTGATGGATGTATACACAATTTGCCAGAGATGGCATGTCCCAGTAGTTTAAAGAACTGCAGATCAGCAGAAATGTATTTATTTATATCACGCTTTTAAGAGTTGGACGACTGAATGGATAACATCTTCATCAACGTTGTAGCAGTGAACATACCTAACTTCCTTCCTCTTCTTATTTTCCCCACAACAACCCTGTCAGGCAGGTTGGACTGAGAGAGAGGGACTAGACCAAGTCACTGGTCATCCAGCTACTTTTATGCAAAGGAAAGGACTAGAACTCATAGTCTCCCAGTTTGTAGCATGGTACCAAAATGGCTCTCAATGCAAATTCAGCTTGAACTGTTCTTGGCACCCGTGATTGCTACCTTACAAGCAGAAATAAATCATCTTGTATTGCTGATGCTGTAGTATCTGCATAGCAATTAAAAAGCAATTATTGTGAATGTTGTCATTCCTGAGTAAAGTAGTATACTCACAACCAGCAATGAATTGGATCTTTATGTGCCATGCAGGTGGCCGAAAAAAGTATAGGAAAATGCATTATCATAACCTGACCATAAATAATGTTATCATGTGAGATCTTGGAATACCTTCAGCTTAGAAGATAAATTAATTCCACTTTTTCTGAGGAAAGAATAAAATACGGGGAAAGTTGTGGGAAAACTCAGAAAGGTTACAGTGGGATGGAAGCAGAGGTGGGTTTCAGCAGGTTCTGACCACTTCAGGAGAACCGGTAGTGGAAATTTTGAGTAGTTCAGAGAATCCGTAGTAAAAATTCTGACTGGCTCCGCCCCCATCTATTCTCTGCCTCCCAAGTCCCAGCTGATCGGGAGGAAATGGGGATTTTGCAGTAACCTTCCCCTGGATTGGGGAGGGAATGGAGATTTTACAGTATCCTTCCCCTGCCATGCCCACCAAGCCATGCCCACCAAGCCACACCCACAGAACTGGTAATAAAAAAAATTTGAAACCCACCACTTGATGGAAGACTTCTGAGGCCTCATAAAATTATCTTACATTAAGAAGCTTGAATGCTAATGAAGCTTTGGTGGAAACTCCAGAGCACTACATCCAACTCTGACAAGTCACTTTGTCTGGGATCCCACATTCCCCCAAACTGTAGGTGGCTTAATTATGCTTTGTTGAATAAGTCACAGTTTGTGAAATATATCAAGCCATAAATTCCCATTTTGCTATTCAGGATGAAAGTTTTGTCTAGGGCTTCCCATGTCCTGACTAACTAACTTGCATCACCACATTTCCAGGCGCTTAGTTTTTCTTTTTCATTTGTTCATTTGGAATCAGGGTGTATTACCATAATTTGATGCATTGCCCAAACAATACATTGCTTGCTTTGGGTGTGCTGTGTGAATACCGCTATTATGGCATGTAAACTATGATATGTAGATTACTCTATATGAACCCTGCCAACTGTTGCTTATTTGACAAACTGTAGTCGAATCCATGGCTCACAGCAATTTGTTTCAAGCAAAATGAAAGTTTTTAGTTAACTAAAATTAGTTAACTTGATCATTGCTCAAATAGCTTTTTTGTTTCAAACTTCATCTTGATTGTAGCTCAGGATTAACTAAATCAAAGATAAAGGGAAGTCTCGGCTTGTCGTTCGTTCAGAACTGCGATAGGATAAGAATTGCCTGCTCTTGGATTCTTCAGCACCTTTTTCACAAATTACGGCTACTAAATCTGAGTTGCAAAACTCTGAATGGCCATCAAAAGGCAGAAATATTTTTTTAAAAAAAAAAACCCTAACCCTTTGCTGACATCTAGTGGCTATCTGGAGTTGTGCTACCCAACGGAAATCCTTCAACTCCTTTTGCCAGAAGTTCAAAATCAATTGGCCATGCCTGCTCCTGGGTCTGTAACAAAATCCTATTTATTGAAGTGAGTACATTTCATATCATGGAAAGAAGTGTGCTTCACTGCAAGATGATGTTAAAACCATGAATCTGGCAATTGCCTGAAAAGTCAGCAATCTTAAGTTTGAGAATAGTATTGAAATGATGCAATGTAGAGTCTATGGAATTTCTCAGGCATCCAGGTCACAGTTCTCCCAAAGGTACTTTTTTCAAGAGGCAACTGGACTTTCTGCTTTTTCTTTGAAGACGTTTCGCTTCTCATCCAAGAAACTTCTTCAGCTATCTGTAATGTTGTGGTTAAAATGGCAGCCTGGACATAGAGAAAATTTGGTGAGAACTCACCACAAAGACGACCTGGGGCAAGTTTTCTCTTTTCGTGTCACCTCTCCCTTATTTTGTGGTGAAGATAAAATTGCATGCAGGAAGAGCCAGTGACCTCCTTTGAGGAAAAACAACATTATAATTTTTTTAAAAACTGTTAAGGGAAGAAGATGGTTAGCAGCAGGGGTGAAATCTAAAATGTTTCCTACCGGTTCTGTGGGCATGGCTTGGTGGGCGTGGCAGGGGAAGGATACTGCAAAATCTCCATTCCCACCCCACTCCAGGGGAGAATACTGCAAAATCACATTCCTTCCCCACCCTGGGGGGAAGGATATTGCAAAATCTCCATTCTCACCCAGCCAGAGGTGGTATTTGCCGGTTCTCCAAACTACTCAAAATTTCTGCTACCGGTTCTCCAGAACCTGTCAGAACCTGCTGGATTTCACCCCTGGTTAGCAGGCAAAATTAAATATGGAAGGGAAGGTTAGAATTGATTTCATGGAGCAGATCTAAGTAGGTGCACAAATCCTTACACATGAGGAAGGAAAAACAAGCAACTTCACTGGGGTTTATCCAGCTTGTCAGCTGCTTCTAAATAGCCCAAGGATGTGATGCAGAAGAAAATTATAACATTGCAAAACAATTTAGGTAATTCTGTCCGTGACTAGCTAATAGGGGCTGTTCCTCACACAGCCAGCCTTCCTCACAAATGCGAAGGAATAAATTCTGAATCTGTTCTTTCTCCTAATAAACTACACTGCTCAAAAAAATAAAGGGAACACAAACAGAAGACATCCGAGATCTGAATGAATGAAATAGCCTTATTAAATACTTTGTTCGTTACATACAGTAGTTTTGTGTTCCCTTTAGTTGTTTGAGCAGTATATAAACTACTGTATGTAACGAACAAAGTATTTAATAAGGCTATTTCATTCATTTAGATCTCGGATGTCTTCTGCTTGTGTTCCCTTTATTTTTTTGAGCAGTATATAACCTCTGAGCCTCTGGGAATGCAGACAACACCTGTGACTTATTATGGCATAAAAGTGGAAAGAGACAGTTCTAAGTCCAGATGTTTTGTGTAGCTTAAAACAAATATACCTTTCTTTAAAAATGCACCCAGAATAAAAATTCATCGGTGAGGTGATATGAAAACAAGCATGACCAACACCCAAGTGTAGCAACCGCCTTGAACAAAATAGTAGAAACAAGTTTTGATCTGAGTTTTAATAATAACTAAAATGATCAGATCAAACTAAAACAAAAAATATGTCTTAGAAAGCCAAAGAAAAGCTGCAAAGCGTGTCCTCAAACATAGCTGCTTTGTTTTGTACATCAAGAAAGAGGAGGGTAAGAGAATGAAAGAGAGGAACCAAATCAATCTGAAACAAGAAAAGTTCAGTCACAACATTTGGCACCTAAAAAAAAAAAAAAAGAACAGAACTGATGAAGTGACTTTTCATCATCTTGTGATTTCACAACATTACAAAGCTTCCTTCACTGAGAGGAGCCAACAGGTAAGGTTAGACCTGATTCTTTGCAAAATGGGCTTCAATTCTATGTTGGGATGAACTACAAAAAATAAGATATATTTTCTCTGACTAGCAGTTTGTGTCGGGGAAAAAACACCATATTGTGGGAGGCAGGTCACAACTGGGCAAATGCAATTGCATGCAGTGACACCCCCCCCAAATGCAGGGTTCTGAGACCGGGGTGAAATCCAGCAGGTTCTGACAGGTTCTGGAGAACCGGTAGTGGAAATTTTGAGCAGTTCGGAGAACCGGCAAATACCACCTCTGGCTGGCCCCAGAGTGGGGTGGGAATGGAGATTTTGCAATATCCTTCCCCCAGGAGTGGGGAGGGAATGGAAATTTTGCAGTATCCTTCCCCCAGGAGTGGGGAGGGAATGGAGATTTTGCAGTATTCTTCCCCTGCCATGCCCACCAAGCCATGCCCACAGACCGGTAGTAAAAAAATTTGGATTTCACCACTGCTCTGAGACTTGGAGTTGCACTCAGTCCCTCCACCCCACTCTAGGGGCTGCAAATACCACGTTGTTCATTTTGAGTTAAAATAATGAGGAACATAAGTAGATGCAGAGGTGGGCATCATGTACTGTAACAACCGATTCGCCCAGAACCGAAAATGTGAGCGCACGCGGCATCAAACACATGGCGATTATATAGGATGGGATAGCGCCAAGGAGGGTGGGCGGGCCCAGATGCTGGTCAGAACTACCAGTTCTCCCGAACCGGTTGGAACCGGCAGCAGCCCATCTCTGAGTAGATATCTTCTGCCCATCAACCTCAACATTTTAGCTTTCTTCACTCAGTCAGTGTTATCTTCCTCCACAGTTTGTCGAAGGGCTCTTGATTTTCAGGCAAGCGTCTCCCTCAAGCGTTTCTCCTCTCCCTCGCCCCGCTGCAAACATTACCCGAATATACTGGGGATGAGTTTAGGAATTTGACTGTGGCCCTTCTCCCAACTGACAGCAAGTCCATGACAGGCAAGCTTGTTAGTCTGGCTGTATCACATGAAGCAACATTTATTGCTTCAAACAAGATTGTCTGCAAGTCTGGTGCTTGTTGCTTGCTTTACTTTGGGACACAGATCTAATTCTTGATTTTATCTGTACACAATGATGTAATTAATCAGTATATTCACACCTTTCCCTTCCTGGTGCCTTCCAGGTGTTCTGGGCAAAGACTCAGCATAATTTTGAGTCAGCTAGGTGGGGATTTTGGGAGCCATGCTCCAAAATCTTTGAAGGGTGCCTTGGTGGGGAAAGCTGACCGAATCAGGGAAACTAATATCTGACTTTGTTATATTCATTGTGAAAGAAGGCATGCTTTTGCCCTTTTGTAAACTCATTTTTCAATTCTGTTCTTTCTCAACGTTTTTCTCTCTGAATCCCGTGAGATACTTCTTAGATGCACTTCATAGGTTGCAACTTTATTTATTTTCCTCATGGTAACTCCAATTTCACACACCAGAGAACAAGTCTTGTGTGGCGGTCAGAATGTTAAAATCATAGACTGTTGTGAAAAAGCAAAAAAATACCAGACGCCAATATATATATTCCACAATACATAGAATTTAAAAAAATTAAAATTCGGATGAAATCAGAACTTTTCTCTTACGGACACTCAGCTAGAAAAAGCTCATGGATGATTGACTTACATATATGGTAACTGCAGTGAAGCTGTTGTATGCACATTTTGCCTCCTTGCAGTAAACAGCAAACAGCCTGCTTTACTTTCATATTTACTTTCATTAGCACAAGCTAATCAAGCACAAGGGGAAAAAAACCTGCTCCAGCAATTTACCTCTTTGCAGCAAGCAGCAGATCCCTGCGCAAAACAGCTGAGAGCAAATCAGCTGAGAGTCGGGAGGCCCATCCAATCAACTTGTGCTAATTAGGCTGTGCTGAAGCTGAAAGGAGCTGTTTTTTCTTGCTGTTTGCTTACAAGGAGGTAACTGCTGCGAGGCACAAGCCAAAGGATGGGGGCCAGTGGGTAGGTGGGGCTACATTCGGTGTATAAGACGCACCTAAATTTTCACCCCCTTTTAGGGGGGAAAAGGTATAAGTGGAAATGGTCATTGGTATGTTTGTAACTGCAGCAAAGAAGATTGGAAGTCAGTTCTTTAGATATCTTTTTCTTTTTCTTTTTTTATTCTTCACTTTTTCTTTTACCCTTTAGAATCTTTGTCCTTTTTAAATTTATTCTTCATCTTTCTATGGCTCTGTACTTTTTAAAATCTTTGCAAAATTTTCTTTTAATAAAAATTATTTATTTATTTTTTTTAAAAAATGTTCAAACAACACCAGGAGAGACACAGGTTTGCTTTACCCTCAGCCATGGAAGCTTACTGTAAAATTTTGAACTCAGTCACTCAGTTCAGCCTACCTTGTTGTTAAGGAAATTTTTATTTTATTTATTAATAACCCTGCCTTTATTGTTTTTACAAATAATTCAATGTGGCGAACATACCAAGTACACCTTTGCCTCCTATTTTCCCCACAACAACAATCCTGTGAAGTGGGTTGGGCTGAGAGAGAATGATGGGCTCAAGGTCACCCAACTGGCTTACATAGCTAAGGCAGGACTTGAACTCATGATCTCCTGTTTTCTAGCCTGGTGCCTTAACCACTAGACCAAACTGGCTATATACCAGTGGTGAAATCCATTTTTTTTTACTTCTGGTTCTGTGGACATGGCTTGGTGGGCATGGTGTGGCTTGGTGGGTATGGCAGGGGAAGGATATTGCAAAATCTCCATTCCCACCCCACTCTGGGGCCAGCCAGAGGTGGTATTTGCCGGTTCTCCGAACTACTCAAAATTTCTGCTACCGGTTCTCCAGAACCTGTCAGAACCTGCTGGATTTCACCCCTGCTATATACCCACCTTGATCTCCTAAAGATAGATATATAAAGCTAACAAATTAATTAATAAAAATAAACATGCTTCTGAATATAAGGCCATTCTGTGGCATTAAGGCAGACCTGAATAGTGATACCCTCTATGTATTTTTTAAGCAATATCTTCCATATTGTGTTAAATTTACATTGACTGACAAAGAAATAAAGGGGGACTTTTGTTGTTGTTAGTTGTGAAGTTGTGTCTGACCCATCGTGACCCCATGGACAACGTTCCTCTAGGCCTTCCTGTCCTCTACCATCCTCTGTAGTCCATTTAAGCTCATGCCTACTGGTTCAGTGACTCCATCCAGCCACCTCATTCTCTGCCATCCCTTTCTTCTTTTGCCCTCAATCGTTCCCAACATTAGCCTCTTCTCCAGTGAGTCCTTCCATCTCATCAGGTGGCCAAAGTATTTGAGTTTCATCTTCAGGATGTGGCCTTCTAAAGAGCAGTCAGGGTTGATCTCCTCTAGGACTGACCAGTTTGATTGCCTTGGAGTCCAAGGGACTCGCAGGAGTCTTCTCCAGCACCATAGTTCAAAGGCCTCAGTTCTTTAGCGCTCAGTCTTTCTTAATGGTCCAACTTTCACAGCCATACATTCCAAGTGGGAACACCATAGCCTTGACTATACGCACTTTTGTTGGCAGGGTGATGTCTCTGCTTTAGCTTTCCTCCCTAGGAGCAAGCATCTTTTAATTTCTTGGTTGCAGTCTCCATCTGTGGTGATCTTAGAGCCCAGGAAGATAAAATCTGTCACCACCTCCATTTCTTCCCCATCTATTTGCCAGGAATTGAGAGTCCTGGATGCCATGATCTTAGTTTTCTTAATGTTGAGTTTCAACTCTTGCACTCTCCTTCTTCACCGGCATCAAGAGGCTCTTTAGTTCCTCTTCACTTTCTGCCATTAGAGTGGTATCATCTGCATATCTGAGGTTGTTGATATTTCTCCTGGCAATTTTAACTCCAACTTTTGATTCATCTAGTCCCGCCTTTCTCATGATGTGAAAGGTATAGATCTATTTCAAGCTATTTAGCTCTAGTCAGCTAGCCACACCCTTATGGGAGTCAAACCCAGGCTACTTACATATTAGGTAGATGCATTAACCTCTAAACCACAGGCTCTCTTCACTTTATCAGCTATACCAGGGGAGAGATTATTATTTTTTTTTAGCAGGGCAACCTGCTCTACCCAAATATGGGACAGAGCATACTGCTTCCGCTTTTGCCTTTCAGCCTCAATCCAGGAGTCTTCACAGGCAGCGCTTTTGCAACAAACTATTTTTTTTGTGTGTGTTAAATTTATATTTACCAACAAAGAAATAAAGGGAGATTAGTATAGATCTATTTCAAGCTGTTTATCTCTCGTGACCCATATTTGGATAGACCAGGTTGCCCTGATTAAAAAAAACACTTAATCTTCCATATTGGTACAATTAAGAATGTATTAGATTAGATTATAATTCTTTATTGGCCAAGTGTGATTGGACACACAAGGAATTTGTCTTTGGTGCATATGCTCTCAGTGTACATAAAAAGAAAAGATACATTTGTTAAGAATCATAAGGTATATGATAGTCATACGGTACAAATAAGCAATCAAATCATACTAGGAAACAATATAAATCATAAGGATACAGCAACAAGTTACAGTCATAAGTGGGAGGGGATGGGTGATAGGAACTGTGAGAAGATTAATAGTAATAGTAATGCAGACTTAGTGAATAGTTTGACAGTGTTGAGGGAATTATTTGTTTAGCAGAGTGATGGCATTTGGAAAAAAACTGTTCTGGTGTCTAGTTGTTCTGGTGTGCAGTGCTCTATTGCGTCGTTTTGAGGGTAGGAGTTGAAACAGTTTATGTCCAGGATGTGAGGGGTCTGTAAATATTTTCACAGCCCTCTTTTTGACTCGTGCAGTATACAGGTCCTCAATGGAAGGCAGGTTGGTAGCAATTGTTTTTTCTGCAGTTCTAATTATCTTCTGAAGTCTGTGTCTGTCTTGTTGGATTGCAGAACCAAACCAGACAGTTATAGAGGTGCAGATGACAGACTCAATAATTCCTCTGTAGAACTATCTCAGCAGCTCTTTGGGCAGTTTGAGCTTTCTGAGTTGGCGCAGAAAGAATATTCTTTGTTGTGCTTTTTTGATGACGTTTTTGATCAATCCACCCCTCAAAGACTAAAATAAAGATGAAATAAAAAAGAGGAAATTGTACATGGGCACAATTGAGATGGTCACAGTGGCTAAGTTTGGGCAGTTTTTAGGAAACACAGGTTGATTTTTTTTAAAATATCAGATGGTAAAAAATCAAGTATTGCTTCTTGTCATGGTAATTGCCATAAATATAGTTCCCCCCACCCACTGCTTTCTCATTTTCTAAAATTGTTTAGTTCTTCTGAACCATGCAGATGAATTTTCTGGGGAAAGAAAAGTTGATATACTGAATGTAACTGTTGTAGTTGTGGGGAGATTTGATGACATTTCTAAGAAGAATAGGAAGCTATTGGTATTCGTATTATAAGCCTAGAGGTGGATTTGATGAATTATCCTCAAAATTGCCAGTGACAGACTGCTATTCAACAGGCAAAGCTTTTCACAACCTAGAATTTTGCCAGTCTGTTGCCTGCCTTAAAAAAAAACTCATGTGATCGTGAACTGATAGTTAGCAAAGAGCTTTCTTGATGTCCTCCAGATACGCATATTCCCATCAGCATTGCTAAACCACAGGACTGCAGATTGGGGAAGAGAGATAGTATGGGGCTGTGATAAGTCATGCTTCTCCCTTGGCCATGAAAAGCTTCATCTGTTAAACTTCCTCCCATCACCAACTCTTTCTTGTTCTTTGTTCAGCCCTCCGGGGAGCTGGTTCAAGGACAGGGGCGGTCCCTCTGCGTGACCTCTCTGCTTTCTTCTTCTTGCCCATAGAAGATAAGGAAAGATGCATGCACCAGCAGAACTGAGAACTGGAGGAAGTCTCTGATCAACTCCGTTACTGCTCCTTTGAACTAGGAAACAAGTCTTAAGGCTGTTCCTCCATCTGTCCAGGCAGATCCCTCTGTCCCAAGCAGCTCTTACGACCAGGTGTACCAAGGGGTGGAATGTGGTAAGTTCTCCTTGTAATTCTGGTCTGTTTATTTGCTTTTATTTACAAGGTGTAGAAATATTTTTTTTTTTGAAATTTTTTTAAATTTTTAAACAAAACTTAAAACAAGCATCATCCATTACAATTATGGAAAGTGTGTCGATGGGTTACAAATCTTTTGTGCCTAGTCCCTTATTCATCATTTACAAATTATCTAGTTTTTCATATTTATCACTTTGTTGTATCTCTTCATATTTATTATTCTCATTTATCATTTATTTAACAATAGCATTTTCATCCCCTCAACAAAAAAACCTTTTCATATAATATATTGTTACATTTATTTCATATTTCATTTCCAATATTTTTGTCTCCAACTGAACGGGAGAAGTCAATGCAACTGTTCATCTGCTGTGGGTCGGCTTTTGTACTTTTGAAGGGCATCACTGTTTGAGAAAACCAAAAATAAATTTTTGAGGCAGTGTTTTTCTTCTTTATAAATACCCACCACCAATACTCCATGAAGGGCTGCTATATGCTCACTGCTGTTAATGGCACAGTCCTGCTAGGCAGTAGCTGGCAATCACCCAATGGGGTCCAAAGAAGGAAGGGAAGTACATGCCGATGAATTATCACCTTACTGTAAATCAGTCCCCCTCTCCTCCCCACTCCGCCACTTTCTCTTCCTCTTGACATGTCACACTTTTCAGCTCTGGTGTTTAAGAATGAAAAAGTCTGAGGTTACAGGGACAGTGTCAACACCCTTATACGTAAAGAATATATGACTATTTTAAAGAATGACTTGGCTTCCCAACGCTGTAAATGGTTGATTTCTGAAAAGGAGCCTCCGTGCTTATGAGATACAATATATGCCCACCTGCAGTAATGACATACACTTCGCATCAGTAGGACAGGGTGGGGACTGATCTGAATATGGTTTGTGCACAGTTTTCCCACTTCCATATTATTTAACAAAAGCAGCACGGAAGCATCTGTCCAAATCTTAAATGATTTTGCTGAGATGGAGGAAATTGGAAAGATTCTGAGCTCAGGGAAAAAACAAACAAAACACGGCACAGAACAATTTAGGTGTCAAATTCTCATACCAAGCTCTTGCTGAAAAATACACAAGCAATATCCCACAACCTGAATTCTGCCCTGCAAGTTTCTAACACTCTTAGGGTTATAGCACAGGGGTGAAATCCAGCAGGTTCTGACAGCTTCTGGAGAACTGAAATAGCAGAAATTTTGAGTAGTTCAGAGACCCGGCAAATACCACCTCTGGCTGACCTCAGAGTGGGGTGGGAATGGAGATTTTACAGTATCCTTCCCTTGCCATGCCCACCTAGCCACGCCCACCAAGCCACGCCCACAGAACCAATAGTAAAAATTCACCACTGGTATAGCATATCAAATATCAAATACGTCTAGGTTCAAATCCAACTTTTTTTTTTTTTGCTTGATATTGTTTCTCATTAGGTGGGCCTCTAATGCCCAATCAGCTATGAAGTTATCTTCTATTGTTGTGTGGGCGGGTGGGTGTGTCTATGTCTGTATATATTTGAGTGTCCGTGCAAATGCAGTTCTGTTCTCTAAATTTGCAGTTGTTTTCCTGTCATTTTTCAAAGATACAATGTGAAGGAAAGCAAAGCTGTGATAGTTTTCGCAATCAAACTGGATGCTGATATTTCCTGTATCTATTCTTTCAATGCAAAGCCAGCATCTGCAGTTCTTTAGCTTAGTTGTAGTAAGTTCTGTGGAACAAACAAAGAGCTCAATTACTACCTTTGTTCATCAGAGCCCCAATCCATCAACACTCTTAGAGGGCAGCAGGAAACCCATACAGCTGGAAGCTGGGCTGTGTGCTTTTACTAACTGGCAGTGGAAATCCCAAGCTGCTGTTCTATTTCAAGTAATTTAAAATGTGAAGTGAAAAGCAGATCTTTTTCTTTGGAAATACCCAGATTCTTCACTGATTTTTTAGTTTATTGATTTATTGCTTAGAATTAATGTAATAGAACACAATGGCCCCTTTCTAGTTCTAGGCTAGGATGTCTTTTACCATCAGGAACAGAGGTGGGTTTCAGCAGGTTCTGGAGAACCGGTAGCGGAAATTTTGAGTAGTTCGGAGAACTGGCAAATACCACCTGTGGCTGGCCCCAGAGTAAGGTGGGAATGGAGATTTTGCAATATCCTTCCCCCAGGAGTGGGGAGGGAATGGGGATTTTGCAGTATCCTTCCCCTGTCATGCCCACTAAGCCACGCCCACCAAGCCACACCACGCCCACCAAGCCACGCCCACAGAACCGGTAGTAGAAAATTTTGAAACCCACCACTGATCAGGAAGTACCACTGTCTTCCCTTTAAAAAAAAGAGGACCAGGTGTAGGCAAAGCACATTTCTAGCCTGTTAGCAGCAGAGAAATATTTGATCGCTTTTTTTTTTATCATGGGGTTGACCCTCAAGAGGAAAATACAGACACAATAGAAGATAACTTCTTAACTCAGATTTTTTTGGAGGGGTGACGTAGCTTATGTTTCTTTTCATGGCATCTCTACTTGCTCTTTCCTCTTCTACTGCAGGGTTTCCCAACCTTGGCAATTTTAAGATGTGTGAACTAGCTAGAGAATCCTAGGAGTCGAAATCCACACATCTTAAAGTTACCATGGTTGGGAAACCCTGTTGTACTGGGTCAGATAGCAAGTTGCTGTCTCTGATTAAAGGAAGAAAATAAAGCATATTGATTCAAACAGGGCAATTATCCACAATTTATTCTAATTCAATTCAATTCAAACCAGTGGTGAAATCCAAATTTTTTTACTACCAGTTCTGTGGGCGTGGCTTGGTGGGCGTGGTGTGGCTTGGTGGACGTGGTGTGGCTTGGCATGGCAGGGGAAGGATACTGCAAAATCTCCATTCCCTCCCCACTCTGGGGCCAGCCAGAGGTGGTATTTGCCAGTTCTCCAAACTGCTCAAGGTTTCCGCTACTGGTTCTCCAGAACCTGTCAGAACCTGCTGGATTTCACCCCTTTCAAACCTTTATTGTCAGAGTACAAACATGTGAACAGGGTTTCCCAATCTTGGCAATTTTAAGATGTGTGAACTAGTTAGAGAATCCTGGGAGTTGAAATCCACACAGCTTAAAGTTGCCATGGTTGGGAAACTCTGTTGTATTGGGTCAAATAGCGAGTTGCTGTCTATCTCTGATTAAAGGAAGAAAATAAAGCATATTGATTCAAACAGGGCAATTATACACAATTTATTCTAATTCAATTCAATTCAATTCAATTCAAACCTTTATTGTCAGATTACAAGATGTATACAATGAGATTGGCTGAGCCTCCTTTCGTGCATGCACACACCCTTCATGCTCTGGAGTGACCTCCTGAGTGAGGTCTTCTAGAAATTTCAACAGAGGAAGCACGAGAAAAGAAACTTGATTTAAGTTTCTTTTGCTTGACGAATAGTAAGAACACAACAGGATTTATTTCTGCTCTAACTAAAGCAACAAGGAGATGTGGTGAGTGACTTAGGGTAAATCCAACTGGATGTATTTGACAAAGTGTGTTTGGGGTATGGAAAGAACCCTTTTTCCTTACAAGCCAAGCATTTCTTTGGAATAATATTTGGGACCTTTTGAGTTTGACTCTATTTGGCTTACATCGACTAAATGATCAGAATTACAGTTTTCAAAGATGAACTTGCTTTCACAGAAATAGGCAGATTTGCTTAGCTGAATGTGGAGACGTAAAGTGAAAAATCATGATATTTTTCTCTTGTGAAATATTCATCTATCTTCAGGGAGGATCTCGTTTTTACTCAATCGTTATTCATTTTACTTGTTGTGTATGAAGTGATTTTAGAGATAAGGAAGAGGAGTAATGATGTGGTAGGACTTATGCTTCCATCATGCCAAAGAGTTTTGTTCCGGGCAATTTTGGAGTCACACAGACAGTAGATAACAGAAACGAGAAGAAGTAATTCTCCGTTTCCACGTACTGCTTCAAGATCAAAAGATCACATCTTCCATTTCACCCATTTAATCATCCTGTCACTTCAAAATCAGGATGATAAAATGAGGAACGCTGTCATTGGACACACCTCTTTCTATCCTTTCCCCAGTACTGACACATAATGATAATAGCGTCAGATAGATCTCTGTTTTTGAAAAAGGGTATTTCATTTTTCTCACAGCAGTTTTCATAAACAATGCTTCATAATGGAAGTAGGATGGTTTCTGCTGCCTGAACATTTTCTCATTCCCAAAACATCTTCTCTGGTTTTCCACCTATTTAGCAAAGTGGGCATTGCATGCTGACAATGGCTGACTGACCTTGCAGAAATTCAGAAGCCAAGGAGGGTTGATTCTGGTTAGTCCTGAATGGGACTGCCAGGAAATACAAGGGCTATAAGGCAGTGATATAAGAGTTATACAGAATATAACCTATCTTGAGCTTGCAAGCATGGGGGCAGCAGCACAAGAGTGAGGGGTATTTAAAAAAAAGCAAGAAATGGCACTGTGATGCAAGCCACACCTTTTTTTTTATTAGATTAACAGAGTTGGAAGAGATCTTGTAGATCATTTAGTCCAACCCCCTGCCCAAGCTGGAGACCCTACACCATTTCTGACAAATGGCAGTCCAATCTTTTCTTGAAAGCCTTCAGTGATGAAACTCCCACAACTTCCGAAGGCAAGCTGCTCCATTGGTTGATCGTTCTCATTGTCAGAAAAATTCTCCTTATTTCTAGGTTGAATCTCTTCTTGATCAGTTTCAATCCATTATTTCTTGTCTGGCCTTCAGGTACCTTGGAAAATAGCTTGACCTCTTCCTCTCTGTGGCAGCCGCTGAAATATTGGAGCACTGCTATCATGTCTCCCCTGGTCCTTCTTTTCACTAGACTAGTGAATGCTCAGTTCCTGTAACCGTTCTTCATATGCTTCAGTCTCCAGTCCCCTAATCATCCTGGTTGCTCTTCTCTGCACTTTTTCTAGAGTCTCAACATCTTTTTTATAGTGTGGT